CATGCTTACGAATTAATTAATTAAGCAGACGCTCTGTGTTGATTGTTTCATGTTTGAGTATTTCGCTAGTTAACTATATAGTGTTTTTTTTGGTTTTATTTATGCTATACATACTATGTACTAACATATAGTTGTTATGGGGACATCGAACACTGTCTGTCATGGATGGTTGTTGATGGGTGATAGTTGACTGTGGTCTGTTGGGTTAGTTGGCATTGCGGCAATGTCATGGCAAAATTAATTCAAACTAAAATTTATAGGAATCAACAGTTTATTTAACGATTGCATTAACATTGCAATGGGGATTATTTCTGGGTATTTACACACACATGTACATACATATGTATGTTTAAAATAAGAACAAACAAAAATGCATGCAAGCGTACGCTTTGAGACTTTCTTCTTCTTCTTCTTTTGTGTAAAACAAATATTTAGTCCGCTTCGAAAAATATGTCCAAGAGTATAAATATTTCCTTAATTACTTCGGAGCTTCGTTTGGCATTGCATATGTACATACATAAGTTTTAATATACTTATATAAATACACATATACATACATATGTATATATGCAAATGAAAATATATCAATTTTTCCACTTGTTCAGTCTATGTAGTAGGCGACTGTCTGACTTGGCTCTTGCATTGGCGTCGTTGCACAGCCACTGGGACATTCGCATTACCTCGTTGGAGTGGAATGGAGCACAAAGTTCATTCTGCAATATTTTTTGCATTCTTCTTCTTCACTTAATGCATTACCCTACTTTATATTTAGATCTTGTGCATATGTACAGATGTATATTTGTTTGTATGTGCTTGTCTCCCGCGCATTGGCCTCTGATTAAGGAAACTAATATATGTAAGTATGTACATATCGCACACCATCTTCAAAAGAGGCACAACTCAAAAAAATGTAGGTCGATTTCTTTTTTGCATAAATCGATTCTCCAATTAATTCAAATATTTTTTTCTTCATGATTTTACCCTATAACTAGAAAAATACTGTTATACCTGTTTTTGTATTAATTTCGTTGAATTTGTACCATCCACAATCAGTTACATGTTCGGATCTGATTTTGAGTTGTGCCTCTTTTGAAGGTGGTGTGCAATATGCGTATACATACGTACTTACGCTTAATGCAGACGCTGAAATGTGTCAGATACGACCCGTATTAAATATGTATGGATCTAATGACAGTTTTTATTCGATACTATTTGTCGAAACATTTGTACACTTATCTACCCTTATTTACCCTGGCAGATACGTGGCATCCCAAGAGAATAAATGTTGCAGCCATTACTAGAATCGAATAAGTAAATCGACCTATGAAAAGGAACGAGTCATATCGATGCTGGATTGCAGTGAATAATTCTCCTCTCAGAGCCTCTTTCAAGGAATGATGGCAGAGTTAGAGAAGGTGTGTTCTACTAGTAACACAGATGTTGACGTTTTAAAGAGGCATTCGATGGGTTGCACACTAACGAGGGCAATATTAATTCTTCTTTATGAACAATCAGTGTCTTCCCCAACTGCAAGCAATTTTTGACTGGCGATATAACCGACTAAGCGATTTTAGGTGTTGTTGAATTTTATTTAATTTATTTAATTATTATTTTTTTCTCCCTATAAATTTAGGTGTATATTCATAACATATATGTTTAGCTTTACTCACGGAAAATATCTCTTGTTTGCTAACGATTAAAATGTGACTCTGGAAAGAAAATGCAATTAAAAGGTTTAAAAAACACACATACATACATACACGACTGCATAAACATATACAGTGGAGGCTAACAAATGATTACAATGCTAGTATTCATGTGTGCTAAAATATTCACATTGCGCCTAAAAGTAGACTATATTTAAGCTTCAGCGGCCGCAAAGCGTACCGTTGTTGTTATATTGTTTGCACACTCATATTACATAATGCGTATGCAGGTATGTATGCGTGTTTGTTATTTATTCAAGTACATATTAAACATTGCGAATGTCTAACCGGACAAATGGGCCACCTTCTGGTATGAGCAACGTAGAGTGCCTTAAAATGACTGCCTTACTACAGGGCAATACAGTGGCAGTCAACTAATTCGAGCAAGGCCTGTTTACTCAACTAAGATCGTTCATAAAAGTTAAATCAGGAATTAAAAGTTAATTTATTCACTAAATGAAAACTAGTCCTTTCCATCGTTTCAGTTAGCGCTACACTGGATCTCGTCCATTCAGATCGCCTGCCGGTAAAATGGTATGGAGAAGAGGCGGCTTGGAAACTTTTCCTTACCAACCGCCCAGTATATGTACTATGCCGCTCGGAATCTCGTCCATTCCGATAGCTTGAAAAATGTAATACCCTTAGCTATTTATGTTTTCATGTATGTAGATACTTATACGTAAGCTATGTAAAACTGTATTAAAAGAAAAATTAAAAAACTGTAAAACAAAACTAACATTTCGCATATTTCTACTTTTAATGTATAAAAGTTGATTTTGTAATATTGTTATACACTGGCGATCAAAACCGTGTGCAAGGTAGACATTTTATTAATTATGTACAGTAACATAACTTTTTTAATAATAAGCGGATTGCTTTGAAATTTTCAGCAATTGCTCCCTATTATCTAAGGAATAAAGCCTATTATGTATACAGAAAAAGTAAACTTTAAAAAGAAACAAGCGATTCACAGCAAAAACGCAAGGCAACTCTATTCACTCAGTTTTGAACGTTTCTGTTTTGGGATTTTAGGAGATTCATATCAAGAGGATTGTGGAGACTCCTTTGTTTTTAATAGCGATTTTCATACGTCTGGGAATGCTCTCTGCTGAGTTTTCTATGATTTCGCTTGGAATATTACCCCATTATAATTTTACTCCCCTCCAAAGCTTTTCCATGTTACTCGGAGCTCGCTTGTGCTACTCTAATTCTCTCTTGACCACAGCTCTCAATTTTTCGATGGCGTTGTAGTCTGGCCACTTAAATTTTGTAAAAGTTACGAGAATTGGAGCTTTTGAACTGAAAAAGGTTAATATGGTCAGATGGAAAGAAAATTAATTGTTTCGCTCAAAGCGCTCAAAGTTGTCCATATTTTTTGTATGGGAAAAAACAACTTTTCGAAGAAATGGTATGGAGTTCTTGGAAATCAATGTTTTTCTTACTTACACTTACAGTATCGGTCATATCTATAGCACGCCATTTCCAAGTGATATTGTGTGCCCCTTATGTTTATTTATTTATTTTTAAGAATTTTCAATTAAAATTTAGTTCATTCTCAGACAAACCCCATATATACCCGAGTTCAACAATTTGTAGAAAACTACAAAAAAGTGTAACAAATTTTCACCTAAATTTGAAACTTTTTTCGCGGAAGTGTTAGAATTTTTTTGAGTACATAGTTTTTTAGCCCCTGCAATTTTAGTCTGATAATGTGCAAATTTCAAGTGGCTACGAATTACCGTTAATTTTTTAGATTTTTTTTTTGTCGCATTGGCTTCCATATAATGAATAAACTGAATTTATTTGTATATGGAAGAAAACCGCAACACCTTTGGCGACTAAAATTGATTGGGCTATAAAACTGTGTATTCAGAAAAATTCAAACACTTCCGGGAAAAAGGTTTGAAATTTAGGTGGAAATTTGTTGCACAACATAAAACTTTTATTGATAAGTCAAGATTTGGATGAAATAAAAAACCGGTTTATTCGATATTCGAAAAATCAAGATTTCAAAAAAAGCCGCCTATAGAATTTCCCAAAAAAAAAAAACAGTGGAAATCGGTCTGGAAAACCCGAGTCAATCACCCTAGTAAATACCTGCATATGCATGTACTTTCATGCATATATACATACGTACATACTTTCAGCGAAAACAGTGTGCTAAAGATGTTTTTGCATTTAGCTTTCTCATCAACCCTATTATTTTATTTTGTTCCATTTTAAAACTTTTTGATTAAATTATTATTTTATTGCATTGCCAGTAAAAGTTAGTTAGCATTCATTGCTGTTGTTCATGTTGCTATTAACTCATTTGTTGACATAGGTTTTTGCCCTCTCACTCGTTCCACGCTGGGCAAAATATATACTTATGTACATATGTGTCGGTTGTGTGCAGAGAGAATTTTCGCACACAATTTCGCACACCAGCAGCATAAAAACAGAAAAGTTTATGTTTACGCAGTCGTCTTCGTGGGCAATAACAATGCAACGACAGCAATCAAAAGGCAACAAAATATCCAACAACAATGCAATATGAATAACAATTAAAATTTTGCGACGAATGTGTATTCAATTTCCACGCAACCAGCCACCCACTTCACAATCTGCCATCAGCTGCGTGCAAAGCAGCTGGCCTAGCTATAGTTGCAACATTTGTGTCAGTGTGGCAAAGTTTTATATGTTGCATGCATTTTAAACGTCTTTCACAGAGGGAAGTTAGGGCAGGCAGTGCAACCATTGTGGCATAATTGTTGCTGTATGTAACTTAGTAGTTGCTGACATGGCCACAACAATGCCGAGACTGCCCTCGAAGAGTTCTCATTATTGTTAGTGTTGGTTTTATTGCTGTTTGTGTATTTTAATTGTCGCCACTCGCTGATGATGATTTTTCTGTTGTGGTTTGTTGTTGTTGTTTGCCGCTTGTTACTTCTCTTTTTGTTGTTATTCTCGTTGTTGTTGCCGTTTCCGCATAAGCTAGCTCTAATCACTCTTTTCCATCGTATTATTTGTATTTTTTGTGCTTTTGTTGATGATGACTTCTTTCGATATGCATTGTTTTCAGTTGGCTATAGGGATGGTAAAAAAATAAAAATAAGGTAATAAAAAAAAAATTAATTGCAATTATTGAAAAAAAATCGAATTTTTAAAGACACTTTTTACAGTGAGTTTCCCAAAAACACTTTCCCATAAAAAAAATCTGATTCTCTTGTTAATTAGCCTTGAATCGAATAAAACGAGTACTTTTAGCGGCGAGTATTTATTATTTAATACTATGTTCAAACAGGCACCTAATTGCTAATTAAGAACCTTTCCACCAATTTAAGCCTTAACTGTTACCCAATTTCTAATACAAAAATGCAAATTATTAATTGGTAATCAGTAATTAATTTGCAATTAATTTGTGTCAGATTCTCTACGCAACTCTGCTACGTATGTTTAATTTTGACCTGGAGGTATGTTTATTGAACAAAGAGCAATCAGCCGTTTGTTTCTGGTCCTTCTTTACATCAGGGATGGAAAATTGAATCATAAAAGTTTACCTAATTTACGGAAAACTTTACCTGAAAGTAGATAGATGTATCTAAAAAGTAAATATGTATTTCTATATAAAGAAAATAGGAGGATAACAATTCCCATCGATACCATATCACCTTCGGTAATCACATTAAACAAATTTTCGCTATGAAAAGAATCTCTTCGAGCAGCGCGAGACGAAACTATGTTGTAGGGAAGATTAATCACTTTCGATTAATTCAATCAAATGATTAATCGCTGCCATCCCTAGTTGGCGACGAGGCAATTGCAAAAACAACGGCAGCAGCAGCAACAACAATAACAACAACATGGCAACTGCAGTAACGCCAAGAAAGTCGCCACATAGTGGCGAGAGAATTGCTTTGCATTTCTTTGCTTAAACAAACAGCCATAAAAAATGCATGCTAATACATACATACATATACAACTGCAGTGAAATAATTGTTTTTGTTTTTCGCGCTATTGCATTTTTTATTGCTCTGTACGTTGTTTCGTTATATTATTGCGATTGTTATTGGTGTTGTGTATTCTGTATAGCGCCCTTTTGCCTGTTGGCATTTGTAATCCTCATTTATTTTGTGTTTTAATTTTTTCTTTTAACATTTCTTTTACTTGAAACGGCGATATTTTGTTTGATTTTTTTCGCTTTTCTTCACTTTTATTGTTGTTCGCTTAACCATCGCTTTACGCTCAGTGCGTTTGTGATTGCTTGTGTGTAGGCCTCATTTGCGTATGCGCGCTGAAAAGGAGGGCGATTCTCAAAAGCAAGTTTTAATGCTGCAATACTTCAAAAATGAGGTAAGTTGATTTCCTCCGAACTGGGTTGGGAACAGTGCTTTTTATATTGGGGCAAGTGATTGCTGCAGGGAAAACTAAAATAATGCATCTGGGCGATTTAAAAAAACAAAAATAAATGATATTTATTTAAGGAGAAGTACAGAGTATGGAACAAATATTAAAGCAATTGTTATTGGGGAAAATTAATGATGAAATAGTGGAAAAATTCTTTAAATAAATGTTTGAACGAAATTAAAGTTTAATCCATATATAGTAAAATGTCATGGGAAATATTTTCGTAGAACATTTTAACCCATTACCTCCTGCCCGAAAGGGTCGTTTTGATCCTTACTTCAAGAAACCCCGCAAAAAGCAAATTTGGATGGTCGTTAGAGGATAGATATATTTTGGAAAATTATTGTTTGGAAAATTTTACTAGAGGTCTTCTCAGGCAAAAATTGCATGCCACCTACGTAAAAGCCTCCAAAAAAATGTAAATTAAAAATCAGCAACTAATTGGCTTTTTCTAAATTTTTTTTTATTGAGTTTGGCTGTTATTTTCTCCCTATATCCAATATGCATATCGAACGAAAGATGAACTCATAACCAAACTTAGTTTTCCAACGTTCATAGTATATTGGAAATACACTCGAGATGGGTTCGAAAAAAAATTGAAACCATAGCAACAAGAGAGAAAGTGAAATCCAGCTCATTCTCGAAGGGACGACGGTTCCGTTTTGCTGGAGAATGGCCTAGTTCTCGAATCGAATACTAACCTATTCCACATTAGTTATCGAAGGTGAGACTGGAAAAAAAGATTTGTTTTTCGCTCATTTTCGAATTGTTAACCAAGCCCAATGTTTATTGAGTTCCTATTGAACCTTCCAAAATTGCTGTTTGCGGGGTTTCTTGAAGTAAGGGTCAAAATGACCCTGTCAGGCGGGAGCTAATAGATTAAAATGTTCTACGAAAATATTTCACAGTCTAATTCGAGCAATGACACCCTTTATAACTATCCTTTAAAGATTTTTGTTTGAAATCCTTTTTGAAGACAAACTTCAACTTTAAATTGCGGAAGAAGGTAGACATGGGCGGACAAAAGTTTACAGACAAGGATCCAAAATACATACAAATATGCCTTTGAAAAATATTGCCCGACAACGTTCGACAGTTAAACAAAATTAAAAAAAAAAAATATGCCAATAGAATATCAAAGGCTTATCATGAAAATTAGGTTTAAAACTTAGTACATGCTCTCTTTTTTCACGTATATTGTGTTTTATTTAAGTTAGATCCATAAAGACCATAATACCGAAAGAAATAAATGTAGCCATTGAAAGCGTAGAAAAATAAAAAACAATAAGGGCTTTGTTCTGTTTGACGTACATCAAAGATCAGGTGGCGGTGGGGATTTTTTTTGGCTGTCAACCCACATATCGGTTACGTAGCTTAAGTAATATGTTTAAATAGGCTTTAATTATTTTTAGTTTTTGGTAACTATGACGAATATTTTTTTAAATTGATTTATAAAATTTTCTGAAATAGAGCGATAATTAGAGCTACTCCTAGCAACGCTACTTCATAAAGAAGCTCTTCAACCATTGGCCGGTTAAATCCATCCCAGCAAATAATTAGGTTTGATATACATTTGAGAATGATTTGAAATCAAAGTCTTTATCCAATGTCAAACATTTGAAAATGATTTGATATTGATTTGAAAATTACAGCTTTCTCAATAAAAAGGGGAGTTTGATCTCCATTTGAGAATATGGTTAACTCTCAAATCAATTTCAAAGGTTATTTATCAAATGTACTTCAAATGTGGAAATAAAATGTATAATAGGAAATATATATTTCATAGTTATTTTTTCTTCGCGATGTACATATGTATGTACATAACAAAAGAAACAATTAAGATAACGTAATTTATAATAAATTCGTCTTGAAGGGCTGCAGCTTTTTCAATCGGCGAAAACATCATATGCACTATTTGTGGGCTTCCTCTTTGAAATTTTTTCTATTAATTTTTTTTTTTTCAATTGATCTTAATTTTATTCTTACAATTTTTGATTTAACGTTTATAACGTTTGATACTTGACATCTTTCTTCAAATCAACCTCAAATGAATTTCAAATGTAAAATTTAAACCTCGCTTTCAATTTGAGAATCATTTGAGAAAAACATTTGATATCAAATTGAGAAATACATTTTTCTCAAACGTTTGAAACTGTGTTTGCTGGGATGGCTGGGTAGTACCAGGCTGCCAAGTGTAGCACTTACCACTTTTACTCATACATTAAGAAAATTGACTCTGAAAGGATAATAGAAATATACTAAAAGTAATGGAGTCTTCGTTCAAAAGCTCGAATTTTGATGGCTGAATGAGGAAATTTGTTTGATACCACGGCAATCTGAAGCTTGATATCGCTTTTTTAAATAGTTTAGATCAAAATGCGAGTTTAAAAAATTACAGTGGGGAAAAATGTATCGCTTTGGACAAAAGTCCTCTGACTACTCAAACCTTAGTCGATTTTAACATTTTCAATATCAGAAGGATGTTCACTATATCATGTAACAGCGATAAACTTGAATTTTTGTAATAACCTACACTCTACAAATTTGTTGTTTAACCAGTTTCCTCTTTTAATGAATGCAAATTTACACACCGTGTTAAATAAATTAAACACTGGTTGTTTATTTTTGGTTACCATATGTGTGGGGTTGAACAAAATTCAAATTTGTTTTTGGAATTCTAAACACTTTTTGTTCAAAGTATTTACAATGTTTTTCAAGCTAAATATTTTTTTATATTTTACTATAAAAATACGCTTTAATAAAAAGCATATCAATCACATTTTCAAACTTTATACAGAATTTGGAAAAATTCCAAAAATTTTTACCTAAATTCCGGGCCTTTTAACCAGAATTTATTTTTTATTTTTTGGGCATGCAGTTAACAGGATTATAAAATTTTAGTAAAATTAATGCAAGTTTTGAGCGGCTAAAAAATTTCATTGATTTTAATTATTTTTTTTTTTTTTGTTGGCCGTCCGCGTTTTCGTGTCACCACTGAAAAACCTAAGACGCTGAGAACAAATATACGTATCGCATTGAAGGCTTAAAAACAATAACAATTTACCTTCAATTTCCAATAATTTGGTTATCAGTTATTGGCAAAAAACCGTTCGATTTTATGCGTATACTTCAGAAGGGAATTTAACGAAGAACTACACTGTATGCAAAAATAGAGAGTAATTCGTTTAAAATACGTTCCATTTAATGCAAATGTATGCCTATATACATAATTGGAATGTTTCAGTAAAATAAAACCAGAGAAAATACTACTCACGGGCTTTATTTCCTTTGTTATGAAATAAATCAAGCGGGCGTTATTTCCTTTTCTTTGGGAAATAAAGTCCGCGGCCATTGTTGCTCTTTCGCAAGGTAAATAAAGCCCGCGGGCTTTAGTGCCTTTTATTGGGCGCTATTTCGCCCATGGGCTTTATTTTTTTTTTTTGAAAATAAAGCCCATGGGCGTTATTTCCGCGGGCCTTATTGCACTCCACCATATCACACCTCTGGATTTTTTTTCTTGGTGGTTATGTGAAGTCAGAAGTCTTCGTTGATAAACCAACTACTTATAATTCAAAATCTGAATTCTGAAAAACATAAGTGAAAATTTTATCTTCCTACGGCGTAGTCGCGGCCATTATTTGAATGAAATTATTTTTAAACTGTAAATATCAGA